AAAAAAAAAAAAAAAAAGAAAGGAACAGGAATAAAGGAAGTTTAGATGAATGCGGTGAAAGAAGAAGGAAAGGGTGATATAAAAGAGGTCAGTGTGGTCGGGTGCAGTGGCTGATGCCTGTAATCCCAGCACTTTGTGAGGCCGAGGTGAGAGGATTGCCCGAGCCTACGGGTTCAAGACCAGCCTGGGCAACTTGATGAGGCCTCATCTCTACAATAAATAAAAAAATTAGCTAGGTGTGGTGGTGTGTGCCTATAGTTCCAGCTACTTGGAAGGCTGAGGTGGAAGGATCGCTTAAGCCCAGCAGGTCGAGACTGCAGTAGCCATTAATGTGCCACCACACTACAGCGTGGGCTACAGAGACTCTGACTCAAAAATAAAAAAAAAAAAGGAAAGAACCCTGGTGCCAGGTCATTCAGGGTCTTTTGGAGTGTTTAGATTTTATTCTAGGTGTAAGAGAAAGCCATTAGGGGTTTTAAGGAAGAGAATGACCATGGTCTATGAGTTTTATTTATTTATTTTAGATTTGGGGGTACACATAAATGTTCATTTCATGGACGTATTGTGTAGTGGTGGGGATTGTGTCTCAGATGGCCTGTTTTCCAGACATTGAGCATTGTGCCCTGTAGGTAGTTTCTGAGTCCTAACCCTCTACTCCCTTCCCCCTTATTTGTGTCTCCAGTGCCTATCATTTCCATCTTTGTGACCATATAGCTCCCACACATGAATGAGAACATGTGGTGTATGATTTTCTGTTTCTGAATCAGTTTCCTTAGGACGATGATCACTAGCTTCATCTGTTACTGCAAAGGAAATAAGTTCATTCTTTATTATGGCTGCAAGAATGACCATAATCTGGTCTATGAGTTTGGGGATTTTTTTTTTGAGTTGAAGTCTCACTCTGTCGCCAAGACTGGAGTGTAGTGGCCACTCCCGGCCACTGCAGCCTCGACCTGCTGGGCTCCGATGATCCTTCCACCTCAGCTTTCCAAGTAGCTGGAATTACAGGCGCGCGCTACCATGTCTGGCTACTTTTTGATTTATTAGCCGGGCTCGGTGGCTCAGCCTGTAATCCCGCATCTTGGGTGAGGCTGAGGTGAGTGGATTGCCTGAGCCCACGGGTTCGAGACCTGCCCGGGCAACTTGGCGAGACCTCATCTCTACAAT